ACCTATGGGCAGACATGTGTGTAAATGAAAGTATAATGACAGCATTAAAGATTATTTGGGTACTTTAAAAACACTCATTTAGCTATTCATTCATTTTTTAATCACATAATTATTTAGCATTTATAGTATGTACAGCTGGGTAATGAGTCTAAATAGGCCAAGAGAGTATTGGATACTAACCAGTTCCAATGCACCCAAAGACACAAATTTTGAATGATGTGATAAGTCACCGAGAAGCACTGATGTCTGAATAAGTGAAAAATAAGCTGCCTACAGAAATTGTCAGATGTATAGGTGTAAAATGAATGTTCACCTCAGAAGGATTTTTATAGATTTCACTTGAAGTCCTATTAATTGAGGTAGACCATTACTGAACAGCTATACAAGAAATCAGATGATGTGATAATATTTCATTTATCTGGAGTTAGAGGAAGGTTCCAGGGTGCTGCATAGCTAAGTGGAGTAATGATATAAACCGTGACTAGATTATCATTTTTTTAAAGTAAAATGTCATAAAATTCAGTAAACATTAAATCTAACAGTAGATATACAGAGAATATGAACTGGGTTTGGGTTTTTTTTTCTGGCCTGAGTTTTCATTTATTTTCTAATCACAGAGTTCAGGTGAGTAAACTATTTTGATTGAGTTCAATTCTTAATTACTAAACAAGGGAATTTGATGAAAAACAAATGTGATGGACTAGTGTGATTCAAAGACCAGAGATTTGTCATAAAGGGATAAACTAAAAAAGTGAAAAAGTTGGGTTCACAAATCTAGAGCTATCCTTAAAAGAGTGAGAGAAGCAAAAGTCTCGGAAATAGGGTATTATAAAAAATCAAAACAACTTAGATAAAAAGGGAACAGAAATTAACATATGTACTAGGAAAAAAAATCCTAAAAAAAGATGACCATTCATTTAGTGATGTATGGACCTATGAAACAGAAATGTTAAAAAGGCCATGGATAATAGTGTTATTTGTGGAGTTTAATGTTTCATAAAGTGATGCTGTTTATGACATTACAGGAATATAGAAATCTCAGAGAAAACATATATAGGGACTCGTAAATAGTGAGGGTAATGTGTACCAATAAGAAAAGTTGTTTTATTTTGAATCTTATGTATGCTCTTACCACACTATCGAGTTCAACAAATTATGAAAACTCACAGAAGGCAGATTGAGATAATGAAGGGATTGAAAGTGATGTGTCTAAACAAAACATACTCTACAATTTTAATCAGCTGAAAACTTGAAGTGCACCATAGAAATAACATAGATGCCCAAAAGAATTTTCTCAAAATGAGGTTTACTGAAAAAAAATTCTAGGTAAAGTGTCAGCAGTTTTTCAAGAGGAATATTTCAAAGTTCTGACATCTTTTCTTGTATTATGTTAAGATTGAATCGAATTGAAGTTTCAAAAGGACTCAAAAAGTAGGCAAAAATAAAATTAGGTCAGGAGATAAGTAGTAATTTTTTGGCATATTGGACTAGTCAAAATGTTGTGTAATGTGAACACAGGATGGACCATGACACTTCAACAGTCCCTTGAGTCTAGAAAATTTCATGGATTTAGAGTTTTAAAATTTTTTAGGTCAATGTATTTTTTCATTTCATTCAATGTAATTTATTATTGTACGACCCATGAAATGAAAGAAAGAATTTCATAAATAGTTTAGATGAAATTTCATTGGTTGTCTTTTGACTGTTGTCAATTCTTAGGCACTGATTATGTTTATTGACAAGAAATCAACAAGTTTCCAAATAATTAAGTCTTACACCTTAACTACTGTACTGTGTATGATTTGAGTGAAAAGATATGCTTATTTACTGACAAAAGTCATAAGCCATGATGTTTAAAATGTGAAGCCAAAATTATAAGCAAGGATGATTGCAAAAGTAATATTAAAGATACTGTTTTAACTATTGGGGTTTTCTAAAGTATCTTAATATTACAGCTTTTAACAATATATTCTTGAACTTCAATTGTTTTTAAGCTCCATATTGGCTGAGACTATCCAGGTTGCTTTCCATATAATATGTCATTTGAAAGACTGTTATTTTAAATAATGTCTATAGTACTAAAGGAATTCTTGAGTTCTCCACGATAAAATGTGGCATTATTTTTAAACTCCAGGTAATAATTTTTTCATGTTTCATTTTAATATGTATCAAAAACAGTAATTATTTTTTAATTAAAAGTTAAGGTGATACTTTAGTATTTTTTTATTTCTCTAAAAAAGGTAAAGCTAAGCTAAAATTCATTAGCATTTTAAGATAATCTAAACACAGTTTTGAATACAACAATATTCCACATGTTTAATCTCTTCAATCTTCCAGTATATCCCTTTAGTTTTTAATCTGAGTATTAACCAACTACAACATTATAATGAAAATATAAGCAAGCATGCTCATAAGTGCTCATCACTGACAAGTTTGAATAGACGTTTTCAAAATTATTCCTGATTTAAAAAATTACTTCCATTTCACTAAATGCATCATGTATACTCTTCATGGATCTTTGCTTACACATTAAAAAGAAAAAAAAAAGAAATATAGTTGTATTTGGGCATTGAAAAGAAACACAAATGACTTTTTTTTTAACATGTGTGCACACGCACTTTTGGGTAGAAGTTGGTTTCTTGCGATTTTTAATTTTAAATTTAACAACCAGAAGTATAGAGATGGGACGTTCTTGTGTATACAATGATCTCATTTGCATTATTAAGCATATTACCATTTTGTGATCATTTTATAAATGACAGTGGTAGCTTCATTAGGGTTTATTTTTAGAGCTCTACAAAAGTGACTAAATACACAGCTGCTTTTCTTAACATTAAATACACAGTATGTTCACTAAAGAGCTAAATGCATATTCAGCAAAAGAAAACTACTATCTCAATAATTACTTAAACATTCTGATTAAAAATAAGTTGTAGGTGTCAAGTTTTCAGCTTAATTACATAAGGGATATGCTTTTCAGTTTAGAAGATGAGAATATTTCCATTCCTGATGATAAATAATACAAGTATTAACAACTATCTCCGTGTGAATTTTCAGGGCAAAATGGTCAGGAAAGGTTTTGACTTGTTTATACTAACAAATTAACCATAAAATTGACTGCGTCCATTAAATCAAAACCTTGATATAATTTTAAAGATATTTGTGAGCCTAAGATAACATTAAACACTAAAAGTTAAAGTTCTATGAAGAACTAAGGAGAGTATAAGTAAGAACAGCAAAATACTTATATTTCTGCTTATTTTTCACCCAGGTCACACTTTATCCCAAACCCTAAATTTAGAGTGGTATGAGCTGGCTAAAACAGGAAAGAAAAAAAAAAAAAAGCTTTTAAAAAGTAATTTATTCTCCTATATCTAACTATTATGAAAACAAATCCATTTTCTTCTTAATTAAATAACATACGCATTCTTCGATTCCTCGCAACACGCGTAATGATTTTACATCACTAACGTGTGTAGACATGTAAACTAAACTTTAGGACCTTAGCATACAAATTTCATCATAGTAATAGACATTTCGATACTTTCCTTAAGTATATGTGCTCTCCTTGTATTTTATAACGTCAAAAAAGAAAGCGATACAATGGTTCATAGACAGAAGCAATTATTTGGTTCTGAAATGCTAAAATACTGTATCATGCGTGGGGTAAAGGTATTTCCAAGTAATTTGAAAAGCTGAATGCAATCTTTCATAAAACAGTTTAATCATCATTGCCATCACAATGTATGCATCCAATGGCAGATCTATTCCTTTATTCACAGAACACTCGTCTACTCTTATTATCAGTGTCTAGAGTAGTAGTCTTGTCCTCAATGCCTTCCATTCACGCCTTTCATATATACATTCATAAGAGCTGAAATATATGTTCTTCAAGTTTTTTTTCTTTCCTTTCAGTATTTTTTTTCTATTTCCCTCCCAGTCCATAAATCATAAAAAAAAAATGATACATCTGCAATCTGCCTCATTTTTGTTCCTAGCTTATGATTCCATGATTTTTTTTGGTACTAGAAGATGAAAGAAAGAAGACACCATGTACTTTGGATTTGATATACATGATTAAAGTCATCTTTTGACTGAGTTTTTATGAGTTGCATCCTTTTCACATATTAGTTTATGTGGTTTGACCAAACTATTGAATCATCACTGGTATTTATCCATTAACTAGAAGGAAAAGATAACTACAGAGAATAATAGGATAATTATGGCAGAGAATAATAGGATAATTTCATTACCAAGATCCTCAAAGGAAATACACTACAGAATCTCTAAGAATTTTTATTTTCACAGTGGTTGTGTAAAATAATCCACTTAAAGAATATGGTTCCTATATTGAAAGAGCTGAATACAATTTTTAATGTCTCCGTGTTAGAAGAACATATTTTACATAAATAAAGAATATTGCTTTATGTATATCTTTCCATCACATAGTTCCTCTGATTCTGATCAGAGACTCTACTCCATATGAACATATTACTGAATCGTGTTGAATAGTCAACGTCATAGCTGCACTGATTTCCCAACTTAGCCTAAGATGTGTAATGCCACTATGGAAAAAGGATTAATCGTGCGATAATGCTGGCATCAATAAAAAAAAAAAAAAACAAAAAAAACATGAAATCTCCCCGTGACTCCAGTGTCAAGAGATGTTTTTCTATCTCAATTAAGCCCTTCAAAACACAATGAAATCAAGTACGCAAGAGAGCAATATTCAAAGGGAATAAGAAGCGCATTTGAAACATGTTTCCCACATCAAAAGTGACGTTTGATTGTTGTCAACAACCATGTCCTGACACAGGAACCTGCCTTCCTGTTACGTATATTCATTTTTCCACAGCAAAGTGCTGCCTGCCTCCAAGAGTCACTTTTATCTTTGTTTCTGAAAACAACTGGAACTCTTCTATTCTTACTGGGAAGCCTGGCAGGTTGAACTTACTCCCTCAAAGGGAATACTTTGATAAGGCCTTTTATGTAATACTTACTCAAATATGGTGGTTTGTAAGGCGCTCGTGTATTAGACAGCAGTCCATCCAGCTCCTTCCTCTCCAGAGTGCTGTGAAGGGCCTTCTCTTTGCCAAAGGTGGAGAAAGACCTCTCTGCCCCAGGCTGGGCTTCTGGAGTTTCAAACACCTCGGTGTCTGGAACAGAGTCCATACCAGGAACATGCAGATTGCTGCGATAATCAGCAGCCTGGCGTCCATCGGCGGGGACAAAAGAAGGCATCCAGCACCGATCCGAGTGGCCCAGCGCTTTGCATTCCTCAGTGCAGTTGGAGAAGAGATCCATACCTGTAAGCAGAAAAAAGAGACGCTGCAGATACAGGACTCACCACCGTGAAAGATGACAGGGAGCCTACAAAGTGCTGGCTGAATGGGTTCTGCCAAATTCTTCTTGCCCTTAACCTCACAGGAACCAAAAATGTCTCTGTACTCTTTTCCAAAGAGTTAGACTCTTCTAGCAAAGAGGACCCTGAGGTCGACGTTTCTAAAATTCTCAGAGTACTGGAAAGAAATTCTGGCTCTAAATTATTTAAATAGCTAGGGAAAGGGGAGTAGAAAAGGAGTGAATACTTTTAAAGATCTCTGGTGAAATTCGTAACAGAGAAGAATGCAAGGCGTAAAGCTTCTCTGATCCACAATCTCTAATGATGATGAGGCATCCGACATTTTCTGTTTCTTAGAGACAAAAACAGCAGAACTATGTGACGTATAAACGATGATATTTAGATTATGGAATCTGGACATGAAACAAAAAGTGGAATTCAGCAGAAATACGGCACACATATTGACAAGCCAATAAATAACAGGAATGAAACATTTCAGGAGCGGCCAAGAGCATGCTTTCTTAGGTTCTCAGAAAATGACCCTAAAAGGTATATTTCATTGCCATTCTGGTAGCCCATATTACGACAAACCACTTATCGTTTACCACTGCAGACAAACCCAGAACAAATGACTATAATTAGTGAAACCAAGGTAATCAAGTGTAATGTGAGTCAGCTGCAGATACTATTGACAAATACCTTATTACTTGTTCTATATTGGAAAACACTTGTTCTAGTAGACCTAGAACTGTTTCCCTACTAATCTGAGAATTCTAAGATTTCAAATGACATCTTCAAGTTTCATGGTTTCCCACAGATTGACAAGACTATTCCATATTATCTGATTATGACTCAAAGTTCAGTTTCTTCAGCAAAGCGTAACGATTTTTGAGCATTATAGAATACTATTAGATATTCATTTTGATAACTATCCCTACCCAGAAAAACAAGTACATAAACCCAAATCACATTTTAATATTATTCTAAACATACTAACACATTTATTCTGCATGTTTTTAAACAGGATCAATTTAAAGTAATTCAAGCATGATTATTCTGTATAAAAGAAACACTCAAATGCAGGAGTATGAATTTCTTTTTTTTAATCCACAGACTAATATTTATTTAATGAACCCATTTGATTGTTTCTTCTTATAAATAGCATGAGCGATTTGAACTCTTGAGTCAGTTTTAGTTTATAAACCCCTGATGGCACTGCTTTACTTGTTTGTGTGTATATGTTAACATTTGTATGTATAAAATATGGAAGATATTTTTTCAGAGTATTAATCTTCTAGATTATCCACAAGTATTTTGGAGTTCAGAACAGTTAATTATGTAAATTACGTTTAAAGAAATAAAACGAAGCTTCTTATCATATATTAATCTCACTATATGACTTTTTTATTTTAAATTAAACTATGTATAATGCCGAGTCTGACTTTGATTATAATGTTCCATTGATAATTGTCATGCATAAGCCTCGAAATAAATTACTGATCAGTGAACTGTTGAGGAACTCAAACGTGAGCTGAAACCGGGATAAGGAACCAGACTAAGAAAGCATGTGAAACATGTCAATGCTTTTCTAGACACCAGAGTAGCTCAGTTTGTTATCCTATTTCTTCAAGGAGATATGTTGAAAGAAAAAGTGTAAGGGAAGGAAAATGTCCCTGATAAATATTGACATACTAGGTAGGTTAAAGCTATATGACCAGAAAAATGTATATTTTGAATACTGAGTGCTCCCTGTTTGCACTGTGTTAGAGAGAGAGAGAGAGAAAAAAAAGACTTTTTGGATAGATGGAACTGTTATTAAAAGTCAAACTATGATGAGCAGTTATTTGTTTGAAAATTAAATTCGTCATGTTAAATTTGAAGTTGGTGGAGTTAATCTAAATACTAAGATCGAACCGTATTATTAGACCCTGAAGAAGATGGGTATGTAATGTGAAATTTGGGATTAATGCAATTTTTCTTCACATGACTGAGGAATATCATTTTAAATATACTGCATGAGACCATTAATAATCTTTCACATCTTTTCAAGTACCTGTATCCAAGGCCTCTCATATTTTTAAATATGATCATCTCTCTTATAGAAAAAAATTAATAAACTAGTCTCTCGACATTATTAAGGTATTGTTTGATTATATTAGAAGGACTTTTAGTAGAGCGTTTTTTGTGCCCATTTTCTTCTCTGGAAATTAACAATTTTTTTGGGTTTCAGCTTCTTTAATTATTAGAGGCTAGTTAAAATGCCCTTAGATGATATAATCAAGTTCTCATGAGTTGAGAACCTGTACAGAAAATAGATCATGTGCATAACAAGAAAAATGAGAAACATGAAAAAGTTTTCTGTTGGAAGAACAATTTTACCTGACAGAAGGAAGAAAACACTTGTATATAATGTTCTTAGTAAATTTATGAATGAGTCCTTTTAAAGTGTGATCCCCATAGCAATAGTATACACAGCTTTATAAGACCGGAATGAAAGATAAGGGATCACAAATTGTGCATGAATGTATTTCACCAGCTTTACTGATAGAGCAAGTGTACCGATTTCTCATTAGGAAAATATCAGAGAAACAAAACAAAATTAAAAGAGAAAGAACAAATAGCACATCAATAAATTTCAAACCATTTGCCTTTTAGCGCTATAGTCTGAGAACCAGATAAATGTCCCCATTCCCATTCCTCACTTCAGGGAGTCACTGAAAGACAACCAGTATTTTATCTTTTTTCATTTATCACCAGTCCCATTAAATATATTATTTAATGACCAAATAAGCAGACGTGTATTTAAGTTTTGTTGTGATAAGTGACTACGCGATATACAGGAATGCCAGGTATCATAGGGCAGGCGACATATTAAAATGCATGCCTTCCACATTGCTCTTGGAATTTTTTAATAGCTCAAATTAAAGGCCCAAGAGAAAACTTAACTTGATCTTTAGTTTCTCCTATTCAAATGCCCTTACTATGGAACCTGCCAGATTTGTACAGCGGACAAATACAGGCCAAACCTCAGATTTGAAATCTTGAAAATTTTGAAGAAATATCTCAACATATACACATTATTTGAAATTTCTTCTCCTAGTTATTTATTTTTCCTACCTCTCAGAAATAATCTGTCCTACAAGGCATGACAGCTGACATGATAGACTGCCTGTTATGCAAGGATATATTTAGACAAATTTTAAAATCCATATTTTTTAACCAGCAAGTAAAACTTGTTCCTTAGAGGCAGTGATGCTATCACTGAGAAAAAACTGTGACTTCAAAAATATTATAACTGTACTCCATGTGTGCTATTTCCTGAAGAATGTAATAATATAGAGTTATATGTACGTTTCTTCCTCGTGCACCAAGGCTTCATAAAAAATGTTTAATTTTTCATAACATGATAAATTAATTTTAAAGAAAATCAATATTTCATTTTTTGAAGGTATTTCCAGTCCTCCTTTAACCACTTAACACAAAAAAATGGAGAGATATAAATTATAACCACAAAAGTTGCTATAATTTTTAGGAAAATATAGCTTGGAGGCAGGTATTTACCAACACGATTCACTCATGAAAAAATCAAAACATGTACATCAAAACTGCTCCCTACTTATCATTCAAAATGTTTATATTTTTCTCCATTTTCTCTAATATTTTATCATGTATTTTTTCCAATTGTAAATCTTTCTGTATCATCAATTTGTAGTTCATATTTTCACCAGAAATCTGAATAAGCTTTTGCAATCAGTCATGTAAAGTCACTTTATTTACAAGTGACTAATCTGCCTGTATCTAAATTCTTACTGGAGTTGTGAAAGGGAAATCTGTACTTGTGATAAATCAAACATTGTCTTGTTACTATTGCAGTAGTTGTGCAAACAGCTGAACACATTTCCTGATGTAGTTTATCCACTAATTTGAAGATACAATTCAAATCACTTTTTGGCATGTGTAGCCAAATTTTGACCATGTGTCATGTATCAATCTCAATAATTAGTCAAAAAATAAACACATTTAGAAGCTAAGCTTGTAACTGAAATTAAAATTTACAGGAAGGAGTGACTTGACAATTTTCAGGTAAACCATAACAAGTAAGATTAACAGAATCGTTTATTAGGGTTATCTTCTTTAATATATATCTTTTAAGAAGGCACAATTATTAAAAATGAATTGATAATTCTAATGGTATGCATACTGCAGATATTCAATAAACGAGGCAAAGGAAATTTTACAACTAACTATATCTCCTCAGACGTACCTGCAAGACCGTTAAAATGTTTAATAATAGGCAACTAAAATTTTTGTATCAGTATTGCAAATCAGAAAAAAAAATCTTTTACTCTAATCGTACAATAAAATTGAAACTATATTTCTTTTAGGTACACTTTGACTTTTTTTTTTTTTTTTTGGCTATTTAAGCTATATTAATCAGATTTTCCTCCTGTGATGGTTTATGCATAGATTTACCACATCTCCCTGGACTTCTGCCAAATGCAACCAATACATCAATAGTGCCCTGAAAAAAAACGGAAAGCACCTTGACAAGGCTATAGAAAGAAAATGCCAGAGAGCAGTGGTCAAGCCGAAGAATTTCACACATGGAGCCAGGTGCAGTAGAAAACTGAAAAAGCTTATGTGATTCTCTGTGCAGCTGCCTCCGTGTTTAAAGCCCTTCTATGAACAAGATTGGTGACTGCAAATGGCTTTAGAAAGGAGAAAAGCAAGGGGGGTAGGGGAGAAAGAACAAAAAAGAAAACTATTCATAGAAGAATAAACAGAAGGCATATCTAGATAAATAAATACAAAATAATGCTAACATCGAAAAAGAAACTGGGAATACATACAAAGGTAGGAAGATTAAACAGGTGAAGCACTAAAGCTCAACAGTGTATATAATGTCGCATGGAGTGAGGGACAGACTGAAGAAGAGAATTCAGAGTCTGTGTCTTTCCAGTATTATTTCTCCATGACAATCTGGTGTCCTCCCCCTAAAAACTGGCTGAGTAAGATTTGCTTATTAGTATGAACTTTTCCCATATCCTAAACCTGGAAATAGATGCTCTGTGAGTAATGTGTCTTACGTATTACAAAATGGGAAGATCATCAGTACCTGGCTTTCACAAGAAAATAAAACAGATGTACTTTTTCACCTGAAATAGGCTCATCTTTTAGGAAACCTTATCGCTACTTGCTGTAAAGTGGACAGTACGCAACATCAGTATGGACTGGGCAAAGTCATTAAGTCGATGCATTCCAGTTCTCTGCATTTAGGGTTTTATACTTATAAAAGAAAACACTTCAAAATCACTCTTACAATAAAATTAGACATAGTAAGTCTGATTGCAATTCAGCACACAAAGGTGAGATGACTTCTTAATACAAGAGTGTCATTACAATTCGAAAACAGCGATTATTGCACTCAGTATGTTGTGGCTGCCCTAGAACTGCCAACGCAATACCAAAATAAATCGTTAATTCTGTAATACTTTTCACGTTTAAGAAGGTAAAGATAGGGCAATTTTTTTTTTCTTTTTGCCACTGCTGAGGAAAAATATGAACTGCCTTGCTTTTTTAGAAAATGTCCTCCAGAACACAATTTGGCATTTAAGTTCTCCTTTTAATGCTTTGACATCTCAAATGATTTGAGAGAAACATTACCAAAATGGCAACACTGAGTCCCTGTGAAATAAAGTAGCTACTGGGAAGGCTCATTGATAAGACTCTATTCCCATCCATCTTCCAAATTTAGCACTTTTTTGCAGATGTTTATTCGTTTCTCTTTCTTTTTGGTTAGGTTATTATAGCTCATTATGTCTGAGGGAACTAAACTAATTGAAATGTTCATTGAGACTGGAGTGCTACAGAAAAAAACAAAGCAGAGGGAGGGTGGGGGAGTGGGAAAAGAATAAAATGCACCCAAGGAAACACGAAGCAGATACTCTGTTTTAATATTAAGCATTTTGTTTGAGAAGTTTAAAAAGGCTAACTCAAATTAGAACCCCTGAAGAAAAGGAACAGGATCGAGCAATTCTGAATGTGCAGCTTTTTAAAGGTAACAATAAATCATATGCCATATATAGGCCAAAAATGAAAGGGACTTTGTACTCAAATATAAACTTCTGGCAAGTTCTGGTTTGTTGTCAGGTTCCCAGACACTAAATAGATGCTCTGTTCAGTTAGCGTGAAGGCCCGCAAGGGGCAGGGACCTCCGGGGATTCTTGGCAGTTCTCAAGTCTCATTAGGTCTGCATATTAATGACTTGCAGCAATATAAAGAGACCCTTGAGCAGCCTTTTTACTCCCCCCTCCTGACTGTGTTTCCCAAGGCTAAGGCAGCCTCAGACACAGCACACTTTAGCCAAGTGAGAGGCTTGCAGTAACCACGGCTGCCAGGCGACCGTGGGGCGGGTACTGCCCTTTGACACACTGCCTCAGCACCCTTCAGAGGTCCACCAAGTGTGCTAAGGAATGCGTGCTCTCTAGGACTGATGTCACCTCGAAAATGAGGACTCTTCCACTCTGGGGTTACATCATTAACCAAAATGAAGCTCAAAAGCGAGGGAACAGAGTTGAGTTTGGAGATGGCCCAGTGACGGATGTTTTTATAAGTCACAAGAGTTAATTCGCCTTTCCATTTCTCTCCGTGTCACAGAGACACAAGACTCAATCAGAAAAGAAAAAGTTCAAAAAAAAAAAAAAAAAAAAGATCAACCAGCCCCCTTCGCCCCCTTCTCGGTTGAAATGCCAATGACGTGGAAAGAAAATCCAACCGTTATGAAATCATTTTCAGTATCATAAGGCATATATTTTATTTTTCAAAGTGTTTTTCTTTAAGAATTAGGAAATTGAGTTATCAGCACCCTATAAAACTTCACGGTTAAATCCATAGAGGAAAAAAGTAAACTAAAATAAATAAGCAATGTAAAAATCTATGTATCACATTGCAACCCTATCGGCAGGCATCATTAACCTCACATACGAATAAGCACGGGGTTCAAATTTTGACAGGTCATGGGCCGCAAGGAAAATATGAGGAAGCCTCGGATGCTTGAGAAAATACACATTATCCAATATTTACTAATGGACCGAAGCCTACCAACCCAGCATTGGAGATCCTGCTGTCAGCCTGTTCATGACTTTTAATCACCATTCCTTCTCTCATTCAATACTCAGTGGCTTGCAAAATGCATTGCTCTCGAAAGGGAAGAAATCTGGATTCTAGTTCCCAATCATCCACTTATTCTCTGTGACTTTGTGCAGGTCAATCAATTTCATTCATCTTCAGTTACCTCATCCATAAACAAGTCTAATAATACCTTCATTGACTGAAGACTGAGGCCTGGACCAGGTGAGAAATCTATAGGTTTTTGAATTTCAATATAGTTGCATGAAAGAACATCACATAAGGAACAAATAAGCTCATGTTCTAACGTATTTCACAGTAAGTCTCTAACTGTACCCAAAGGGGCATTTTTAGAATCCTCTTTGACTACGTAATTATCAACATAGAATGACACCATATTCCTGGTGTGGACTTACCAACATTAACCCTACAAAAAAATACCTAGGACATCACTCTTTCTAGATTGACTTTGAAAACAACAACAACAACAGCAGCAGCAGCAAACTATAAAAGTCAGCATTGCCCTTTGAGCACACTTACCAGCTGACTGGCCGCGGTTGGTGGCATCATGATCACTATCTCCCTGTTCACTGTCTCCATGACCACTGTCCTTAGAGCTTACTATGTCGGCTTCCTGGAATGCAGAACTAGAAGTACAAAAACGTGAATATTAGAATAAAAAAAGGTGAAGAAACACAGAAAACATTCTTCTGCCACCACATGGTCACCAATGGAGCTGCAGATTCACAGACCTCTCACAGTGGCCTTTATTTCTGCAGAAAAGCTAGTTTTCATCACCTTACAGCCTAACTCTTTACAACTGAGCAAAGAAGTCAGTAGGAGCCTTTAAGGCACGTCACGTTTAGTCATTATTCTGTGAGGAGAGCCACGCGTATGTTTATATCATTGTCATAAAATATAGAGTATTTAGTATATAGTATATAGTATAGAGTATATAGACCCTTGGAACAGGGAGGCTATCAGAAGTAGTGTAAAGAGTATAAATTGATAAAATATTCAAATATATTCAGTAAGTTGTATATAGATGAAAGACACCCATATTTCTAATGTATTGTCCAGGAACCCCAACATAAACAGTATTTATGGTCTGCCCTAGCTGGAGATGCTTTCATACATCTTCTATTCTAATATTGGATGATACGTCTAATTTCTAACTTTAATAGGTAGTAAACTTGTCCATACACCAAGCTAGGGGGGATAAAAAAAGAGTCCATACCTGTTAACTCGGCGAGGTCTGTCAACTAGATAGCTGAGCTCTGCTCGCTGGTGTTTAGTCTAGAAAGAAAATAAATAAATCAAGAGCATTTGAATGCTAAGGGCTTAACTAGCAGTCCTCTTCGGAGGTTAGGAATTGAGTCTAGTTTAGGTAATTGTGTACGGTTTTATGCATTTGCAAGCTGCCCTAAGGCCTCAGCCTAGTGACTGCTGGGTAAGGGGAGGGAGATATCCAGAGACACCTCGGTCTAGATTTTCAGTAAAGGGGTAAAAAAAAAAAAAAAAAAAATTGCAAAAATAAAAAGCCAATTTTAAACGTGTGTGTGTGTGTGTGTGTGTGTGTGTGTTTAAGGAGAGAATGCAAATGACCTCATAGCTAGGGCTCATAAACTACTGTCCCTAACAGAGTCAACCTAGGTATACTCTGCAGTCTTTCCTTCAGTGGCCTAAAAAAGTGTTTAGGTGCATACTGGTTGACACAAGAAAAAACAGCACGCTCAATAAGCAAAAAGTTTGGATATTTTATGGAATTATTTTGTTGTTTATTTTCAAAATGTGCTTAAGATACAAATGAGCTGTACAAATATTCATGAAAGTCAGTTAATAATCTCTAAGACTCAAATAAATAAAATAACCTGCCGAGAAAGGAATTCATCATCCACACTCCCCCCCCCCCCGACCCCCATACCTTTCCCCCTCCAAAACGCCCTGTGCACTCTCCTCCCCAGCGTCCACCGTCCACCATCCACACACCTCTTCTGGCCCCAACTCTCTTGTACACAAATCACCTGTGTTCTCCCCCTCCCTCCCTCCCTCCCTCCCTCCCTCCCTCCCTCCCTCCCTCCTTCCAACTTTGCCACTTCCCCATCTTTTAAAAAGAGATCAGAATCGACAAGCCAAATTCTTCGAGGAAGAAAGCCAACAGCAGCGATTTACCCAGAACAGTGGCAAAAGGTGAGGATCAGCTAGAAGGTATATATATATATATATATATATTTAAGGTCACAATTGTTTAAGCCTTCCGTTAGTTAGTTTACGCTTACAGGGGTCTGTGCCAAAGCAACTTCATTCAAATTCACACTGTGTGGGCGTTGGGCTTCCAGGGCGGCTGTAAATGCTGTCCAGAGCAGAACGGAAGCCTTTTCTGCAACCCGAGGTCGGAGGACAAGGATCTGATAACTTATTCACTAAAACATGCATTCGAGTTTAGACAGCTGTGCAAAGTCAAACGATCTACAGCTTACTGTTACACGCGACTCAAAGCATCGATAAACAAAGCGAACAGAATTAACTTTATTAGTGCCTGGGACAAACGCAAAGAGCGGGAAGACCTTTGCCAAGGGCCCGAAAGTCCCTCCATCCGCATTTCCCTCGCTCCCCCCCTCCACCCCCTGCCTCCCGCGCACTTTTCCCTCCAACTTTCAGATTTCTTTCTTTTTTTTTTTTTTTTTTTTTTTTTTTTTTGAGAAGGGGTTAGGACTTTAAAGGAAGGATGCCAGAGGGAAGAGGGAAGGTCCAAGGTGGCAAAGCACCAAGGGAGGGAGGGGGGAGGGGGAAGGGGAGGGAATGAAAAGTCAATGTGGAGGGAGGGGTGGAGCGCAGGAGATCAGGGACGACACCAAGTTTAGGTTACAGACGAAGGGGTGGGGGACAGCCTCCCCCCCGCCCCCCGCCCCCCCCACAGAGATACAAATAAGTGAGTATCCTAAGCATAAATACACAGTGCACCAGAGATACAAGGGCCGGGCTAGAGGAGGCTTTCGGATGGAGGAGATGAGAGATGGTGGTCCTTTCGCTTCAGCCTTACCTCGTTGGACAAAATGCTCCCGTTGGAGATGATGTCGGGCTGCTGGTCTGTGTAGCCGGTGACGATGGCCCCACAGGGGTTGTGCTCAGTGTCCGCGCTCCGCGAGGGGCTGCAGGGCTTCAGGAACATCAGGTCGGTCTTGGCGGACTCGGGGGTCAAGCAGACCTGGTAGCAGTAGTTCTGGGTGTGGTGGTGGGAGCCGAAGCCCCCCGCCTCCTCCACGGGCACCTGCGCCGGGTTGCTGGGGACGTTGGAGCTCTGCACCAGCATGATGTCCGACTTGCTGAGTTTCTTCTTGCGCGCCCGGGCCTGGCGGCCGCAGCAGGCGGAGCCGCCGCCGCCGCAGCAGCAGCAGCAGAGGCAGCAGTCGCTGGCCAGGCACGTGTAGATGTTGAGCTTCTTCTCTTTCTGGCAACGCACGGCGAGCACGATCATGGCCAGCAGGAACACGAAGGACACGGAGCCCAGCGCGATGATGAGGATGAGGGTGAGGTCCAGCGAGGTGTCCGCGCCGCCGGAGCGGCTGGGGCGCTGGTGCTCCCCGGGGCCCCCGCCGCCGCCCCCGCCCCCGCCGGGGGGCTCCACGGCGCCGTCCACCAGCTGCACCACGAGCGTGGCCGTGGACGACAGGGGCGGCTGCCCGTGGTCGCGCACCTCGATCACCAGCTCGTAGGGCCGCTGGGGGTCGCGCTTGGCCGGCACGCGGCGCGCGGTGCGGAGCTCCCCGGTGCGCCAGTCCATGCGGAACAGGTTCATGTCGTTGCCCCGCACGATGCTGTAGGTGAGCCGGGCGTTCTCGCCGTCGTCCGCGTCCACCGCGGCCACGCGGGTCAGCAGGTAGCCCGGCTCCGCCGACCGCGGCAGCGCCTCGCGCGCGGGGGTCCCGTTGCGCCCGGGCAGGGGCGCCACGATGGCAGGTGCGTTGTCGTTCTGGTCCACGATGAGGATGTTGACCGTGGCGTTCCCGGCCAGGGCCTGCGGGCTGCCCGCGTCCCGCGCCTCCACCTGGAAGCTGAAGTCCTTGAGCTGCTCGTAGTCGAAGGAGCGCAGCGCGTACAGGTAGCCGTTCTCGGAGTTGATGGACACGTAGGTGAAGACGCTCATGCCCTGGATCTGGCACTCGAGGATGGAGTAGGCGAGCTGGGCGTTGGCGCCCTCGTCGCGGTCCGTGGCGCTCACGGCGTAGATGTAGGCGCCGGGCACGTTGTTCTCGGTCACATACACGTCGTAGACCGGCTGGCTGAACCGCGGGGCGTTGTCGTTCACGTCCGCCACCTGCACCTGGATGGACTTGCTGGTGGAGAGCGCCGGCTCGCCCCGGTCCCGCGCCACCACCGTCAGGGTGTAGGAGTCCCCGGCCTCGCGGTCCAGCGGGGCCTCGGTCACGATCGTGTAGTAGTTCTTGAAGGAGGACTTGAGGCGGAACGGCACGTCCCCCAGCAGCTCGCACTGCACCTGCCCGTTCTCCTCCGAGTCGCGGTCGGTCACGCTGAACAGGGCCACCACCGTGCCGGGCGCCGCGCCCTCGCTCACCGCCTCCTTCACGGTGCTGAAGCTGATCTCGGGCGCGTTGTCGTTGGCATCCAGGACCCGCACCAGCACCTTGCAGTGCGCGGGCACGGCGTTGGGGCCCAGGTCCTTGGCCTGCACGTACACCTGGTACACCGGGCTCTCCTCGTAGTCCAGCTCGCCGCTCACCTCCAGCCGCCCGGTGCGCGGGGACAGTCCGAAGAGCTCCCGCGCCCGGGGCGAGATGTGGCTGCTGAAGGAATACACCACCTCGCCGTTCTGTCCCTCGTCTGGGTCTGTGGCGTTGAGCTGGATCACGAGCGTGCCCGGCGGCGAGTTCTCCGGCAGGGACACAGTGTAGACGGGTTGGTCGAAGGCGGGCACGTTGTCGTTGGAGTCCAGCACTCGGATGGTGAGTAGGGCAGTGCCGGTGCGCTGCTGTTGGGGGGGCAGGCCCCCTCCCCCTCCTCCTCCTTCTCCTCCTCCTCCTCCTCCGCCTCCCCCTCCTCCTCCTCCCCCGTCCACCGCGGTCAGCACGTAGCGGTGCACCGCTTGCTGCTCGCGGTCCAGCGGCTTCTCCAGCACCAGCTCCGCGAACCGGTTGCCATCCCCCTGGGTCTGCACGTCCAGCGAGAAGTAGCTGTTGGGGGTGATCTCGTAGTCGCGCAACGAGTTGGTGCCCACGTCTGGGTCGAACGCGCTCTCCAGGGGGAAGCGGGTGCCCGGCGTGGCGCTCTCCGAGATCTCCACCGTCAGGTCCGGCTCCGGGAAGGAGGGGGGGTTGTCGTTGATGTCCAGCACTTCGATCTCCACCCGGAACAGCTCGAGGGGGTTCTCCAGGAAGACCTCCAGGTGCAGGACGCAGGAGGGGCTCTGCTTGCAGATCTGCTCGCGGTCAATCTTCTCGTTCACGTACAGCACCCCGGTCTCCAGGTTGAGGTCCAAGTAAGGGGTCCGCGAGTTGGGCACCGTTTGAAACCTGCGAGCTGAAAGTTTTGTAATGTCCAAGCCCAGATCTTCAGCGATATTCCCCACGAAAGTGCCATGTTCCTGCTCCTCCTGCACTGTGTAGTGAAGCTGGGAAAAGACTCCTTCCACCATCCAGAGCAAGGCAAAGAATAATAGCACAATCATCTCCAAAGGGAAAGGAAGCAGCTTCCCGCAGCCAGTCAGCCACCCAATCACCTCCCCCACCACCACGGAAAAAGAAAAAAAAAAATCTAAAAAAAAAAAAAAATACAAATAAAAGTGCCCTGTGTGTGTGTGTGTGTGTGTGTGTGTGTATGGGAGGAGGGGGGGTGTTCCTGTGGCTTTTCTGTCCTTAAAAAATCTTATTCCTTTTGCTTCATTTTAGGGCTTCCCCCAATTCAGCCTCATTTTTCAATCTTAGCGCAGGAAGGGTGACAGGCGTCCCCTTTCCTCATCTGTAATCTTCCCACTGACCAATTAATAAAATAATAATACAATAGTCAGCGTCCTTTATTCCGACAGTCTTGGCGCAACGCGGCGCTGGCAAATCCCAAGGAGGAAATTTCGATATTTCAAGACTGTCCTCGGTTTGTCTTCTTGCTGATGGGAGGAGAAGAAGGAGGAGGAGGAAAAGGAGGAGGAGGAGGAGGAGGAGAGGGAGAAGGAGGAGGAGGAGGAGGAGGTGGAGGAGGAGGAGGAGGAGGAAGATGAAGAGGAAGAGGAGAAGGAAGAGGAGATGCAGCCGGCACCGCTGAACATGCCTCAATGTCAACGGCTGGCAAATGCAAAAGGGCTTAAAAACAGCGAGAGAATTTTGTGCCGGAAAAACACAGAACGGCTCTGCAGCATAAAACTTTCATTCTCTTCATTTCTCCGGATGCATGTTCTTCTTGGCATTTTCCTCCTCTTTTCGCTCTATTGGTACGTTTTGGCTTTCAGAGTTTTGCCCCTCTCTGCGCTCCTCTCCAGCATCCTTTGCCTCTCTCTAAGAGTGATGAGCAGTTTCTTTCCTGCTGTTTTCTTCCCAAGCCTCTTTCTCTCTAACCTGTCTCCTCCTCTCCCTCTCTCTCCCTCTCTCTCCCTCTCTCTCTCTCTCTCTCTCTCTTCCTTCCAGTCCTTTCCCTCCTCCGGCTTCAGCCCCAGAGCCTGTGATCTCGGCTGGCAGTTTCTGAGCTCCGAGCGCTCCGCTTTTCTGTTTTTGCGCAGCGCCCTCGATCTGCCAACCAATCGCGGAGGAGCACCACCCACCGGGCCGCCGCCAATTGGCCAGCCCGGCTGTCAGGCAGGCGCGTCACTCGGCAGCCGGGAGGGGGCGGGACGCAACCCGGGCCGGGGCGGGAGGCCGGGGTGAGTGTGAGTGTGAGAGCGAGAACAGCCCGGCAGGTCCCGAGGCGCGGGCTGGGGACTGTGCCGCGGAAAGTTCCCAGTCCCCAGCCGCAGGTAAACGGAGAGGGAATAGACAGAGGCTCCCCCGTTTGCATCAGCAAATGCGAGAACATAATAGCAACAGCAGCGGCATCCTCTCTCCGGAGCGGGGTTTCCAATGACGCTAACATTCTTTTTCCTTTAAGGTATTTTCCTTTACTACCGATCGTGGAAATAAATCACGGGGAAGGGGGAAAGTTGCAGAGAGGCCACTAACTGCCTGCAAGGGGTTACCTGATTAAGGGACTCTGGCAGCGATGGGTTGGACATCCTTTTTTTTTTTTCTCTCTCTCTTTCTCTTTTTTTCTTTTTTAAGGGATATAAGGTGGATTGTGTAAAACTAAGCGTGAGGGTGAAGCGGTGGGAGCGTGGGGCGGAGGTGGGTCCTGAGAAGCCGAGGGGTTCACGCCAGATGTGGGCCGGCAGCTGCGATGGAGGTGCGGACGCGTTGGACTTGCTCAGTGTCTGTGCACACACGCTCTTACCAAATAGATCAATTCCCTGGGGGGGGGGGCTAGTTGGAGCTGCGAGCGCCCCGATCAATGACCGGCTCGCAGGCAGCCGAGCATCGCTGGGCGCTGCAAGGCGCCCCGGATGTCCCTGCGCCTCGCCCGGCCGAGTGCAGCGCTGCAAGGCGCTCTCAGGCTATTTTCTGCTTTTTTTTTTTTTTTTTTTGACATTTGGAGATCCCTCTCCCGCTCCACCCCCCCCTACAAAACCGGGGCGCTCTCAGGTTATTTTCTGCTTCCCCCCCCCCCTGACATTTGGAGATCCCTCTCCCCGCCCCTCCTCCTCCCCTACAAAACCGGGAGGGCTATTTTCTGCTTTTTTTCTTTTCTTTTTTTTTTCTTTTTCTGACATTTGGAGATCCCTCTCTCCACCCCACCCCCACCCCGAGTAAACCGGGGCGCCCGTGGGTCGTTGCCCAGTTTGAGGCAAGACCGCTGGAGGAGAGCGGCTGCACCGCTGAGAACTCGCGCAGGGGTGAGCGTGAGTGGGCGGGCAGGGGCGCGGGTCTGTGCCGCTGCGGCTCTCGGCGAAGGCGCTTGCACACCTAAGGGTGCCCGCATCCATCCTCCTGGGCCCGGCGCACAGGTCTGTGCCAGCCCCCACGGAGCCCCGCAGCGCGCGCGCACACACACACACACACACACACACACACACACACACACACGCTGATCTCCAAGGATGCGCTTGGCCAGCTCTCGGGGCCCACTGCCTGCCTCCCCGACGCGGGGGCAGATGCATCCCGTTCTCCTGAAGTTAAAATACAGCGCGAACTCTTTAATGTTAGAGACGGAGATGATTGTCAATTATCCAAGAAAAAAAAAAGCATTTTTAAAGCATATGTATATATTAGTTTTTAATACTCATTAATGGGCTGCTGGGGGTTGTTTGTTTATCCCCTAAAGCTGCCCCCCCCCCTTGTTCAGTGTTCATCTTATACCACAGTACAGAACGGTCCCCTGCGGCTTCCCGCTAATGGATGACCCGAGAGTGACACCGCCACAACCTGCGAGGAAAGGAGAGCCCCTTCCCCGCCCCGAGGTACGTCGGCCTGTGTCCGCGGCGGGGGCGTCAGGAGAGCGCGTGTCCACGCGCGGGACTGCAGAGCGAGGCAGGGCTCCGTGCGCCCCGCGAGCGCGCGTCCGGGGCCGGGGCGCCCCACCCCCACCCCCACCCCCCCACCCCCCCCAGGCTCCTTCATGGACACGGGGCCCGCCTTGGAGCGGTCAGAGGGAGAGATGCCTGCAAAAATGGCTAATCCTTTCTCAGCTGCAGCAAATTGCCCAACAGAAAACCGCTGCAGTTGCAATGATTTCAGCCTCGCGTCTGCTGCCGAGAAGGGGGCGGCAGTTTACAAAAAGGACCTGTGGATCAATGCAAAGGAGATCATACTGTATCTGAATATTAATAACGGCAGGCATTGCATCCCTACTTCTCCCTCCGCCCCCCCCACCCCCCCTTTTTTTTCTCTCAGATCTGCGGGATTGAAATGAAAAATCTTGAGCTCTTCCAGCTGACTCATCAGAATCCTGGAGCATTTTTTTTTTTTTTTTTGTAAATGACGGTAATGTTCTAATGTTTTTTTTTTTTTTCTCCTTTATACGTTTGGAAACACTTGTGTGTGCGCGCGTGTGCACGCGTGTTTGCGTGTGAGAGACGCGGGGGCTGAATGACAATGCAGATCCGGAACCCGGGGGAGGGGGTTGGTGCGGTCGGAAGGCACGTGAAGTTTGAGCCGACTTGGGGCGGTTCGCTGGGAGCCGTGGAGCTTCCAGAGGCTGGGGACGAGGGCGTGGAGAGATGGCCAGATTGGCCTGTAAATAATCACTACATCCACTGTAACACTGGAGCTGCTGCTTTTTTTTTTTTTTTTTTTTTTTTTTTTGGGGGGTCCAGTCGTGCTGGAGCCGGGGACGCTCTCTGCAAATGCAAACGTGGGTTGCAGGCGTCTCCTAGCGGCGGCAGCGGCATAGGGCAAGGCGGAGAAGGCTCCAGCTTTCCCTCAGCTGGGTTCGCCTGTTGGGGGCTCTGCAGCCTTTCCTGGGTCGCCCAGGCCTGTGTCCGCGCCGCCCACGCCGGCCGGGGGGGGGCCCCCGGGGTCTCGCGTCCCTGGCTTCTGGCCCCTGCGGCTGCCCGGGACCCTCGGGGTGAGACGAGGTCCTCTGCCCGGGGAGCAGCCCCGAGCCCCGAGCCCGGATCCCGGCCCCCTCCCCTAGCGAGCTGCAGCCAGGGCAGCCAGAGCCTTCCGTTCAGGGCAGTCACAGCCGCCTCTGCCACCTTACCCTGGCACCTTTAAACAGCCCCACCCTGTCACCCACAAAAGCCTTAAAAAAACAAAAAACCAAACGCCTCTTAATTCCTTTTCCTTTTGCATTCCCTTCGGTGGACCCTGGAATTTAGTGAGGCCAGGTTTGCATAAACAAGAGCCTTGGTAGCTGGGTTCAAGACCTCTTTGAAATCCAGAGTTATCCTGTGATACTGCATCCCACCCTGCACCCCCAGGTCCTGGGCCGGGAAGGGAGCCCCAGTACCTAGAGAACACAATCCTACTCCCCGTCCAGGGGAGCAACCATCTGGGCCAAATTGCATCCTAAATCAGAAGGGGAAAGCAGTCCTTGCTAATTCAAGGGGTGTACCCAAATCAGTTTTCATAAAAGTCCTGGTTGGTGTATGAGATTGATAATGCACAGGCGCGTGTTTCATCGGTTTCTAAATTACAGCAAAAAAATGGGGTTGGGAGGGAGCGTTAAGGATCCCACAAATGCATTTTTTATATACATGGTTCCAAACTTTGAAACTAGGTACCAGGGTTGCTTTCTTCCCTAACCCTTTTCTGGAAAAGGCGGGAGGGAAACAAGTTTGTTAACCAGCCGTTTGGATAAATGAGTGTTTGCAGTGATTTAACTTGACTTGAAAGCAATTTGTTTCTAAATCCTCTTATTATTGCAGTGTGCCCAGAGCTTTGAGAGATTTTTTTTTTTTTTTAAGAAATGGAAGAAAAAAATTAAATTGTCAATAAAAAGTCTTTCAAACACCAGACTCGGCCAGGATTGAGCTAGATGGTTCCTGACGTTTGTCATTCCCAGTGCAGAGAGCAAACTCAGAGGACCCGGACTGTACTGCATCTCTTATGGGTGTCCATGAAATCGGTTTATTCGTAGTAGTGTAACCTAAGAGGTGGGAAGGCAGGGCTTTGGAGACAATGGCACAGACACTGTGTTAGTCTTTGTTCCTCTATTTAGAGAGAGAATGTTGACTACAGTTTCTAGAAAAGATTTATAGCATGTGCTATCTATCCATTTTTAGTTGTATATATACTAACATTTTTAGTTAAAGGGAACTCTTTAGAGACTGTGCTCTGAACTCAACAGAGAGCAAACTAATCCATGTTTTGGGAACTGGGAATACTGGATATTCCATTAAAGCATTACCTGATATTCCAAGTAGAAATGTTCTTCTCCATTTTGTTTAACCTAGTTAATATTGGTGCGGCTTCACATTTCAGTGTCTTTCAGTTATCAGACGGGGCCAGCATTTTGTTAAACTCTAAACAGTGAATTAAAAGCACTGATGAGCTGAAGCAGCCCTCTAATGCAAAATGACAAATTGCACTTAAGCAATACATGAAGAAGAAAATGATTTATGGATTTTTACAATGGTCTGAGCAAATGAAAGCAACATGAATTATACATCCTAATGCTCACGATATCATTTTCTAATAATACTGTTTCAGTTCAGATGCTTCTCATCCTTTCTATAAGAGATATTGATCAATAGAGGTCCAGGAATATTTTTAAATTAGGCAATGGTGTCTGATATGGGTTCCAAATATATATATTTCCTGAGTATGGGGGGAGTGAACATTGAACATACTAACTTTCTAGGCAGCTCCTTCACATATTGTGTCTTTGGGTGATAAATAGACCTTTGGAAACTTCTGTTTCCTTCCACACCTTCTTTCAGAATGCAAATAAGTAGATCTAATTTAGAATGACAATCTTTATTCTATCATGACCTCTTTCTCTGAAAATAAAAAAAAATATGTGATTTCATCTTAACTTTTCCCTTCATTGCTTTTGATATTGAAAAATCAGATTTCTCCAAAATATCTCTTACCTTCTTCATATTTGTCTAATCTATTTTTCCAGAACATTGTTTAATCCTTTAGTGTGTTGAAGACACCCCTGAGTTAGTAAAAAGGTCATATACATTAGT